ATGTAAAGACTGCAAATCTATGATCTAGAATCAGGTTGAGTGCAATATACATTCAAAACAAAGACAGTCAAGTGAATCCTGGTAGTCCTAATACCCTAGAAGACTGGTCAAAAGTGATTTTTGTTTGCCTTCAAGTTCAGACTGAGAACCACATATTGGGCTGAAATCTGGGACCTTCTGACCTGGTGTAACCACTGCTTCCTTTAAGCACTGTTCTTTTCCACTTACAAACATCTTCTATCAGAGATATTTTCTGAAATGCTCTGTTCCAAGTATCAGGCTGCTCTCGCATTGCTTATTTTGTAAATCATGTCTCACAGCATGATCCTGGCCATCAGCTAAGAGAACTTCTTTTTCTGCTTGCTAGAAGCCCTGGGAGGCAGGAAAAAAGTCTTCTCAACGGAACAGTTGTTTTTTAATCTGCCTTCAAACTTTGCTAGTGTCTTGCAGTTTGACTTGCAGATTTCTCTGGCTGACTTGAGTGTAATACTTAGACTGAATGATAGATAACTTATTTTTGCAAGCTTTTGTGCAATGTGGAATTTACTGACGATTCCTGGGTCTTCACTAAAGCTGGTAATTGCTGCTTGTTTAACTTGTGGTTGATTTGCACTCTCTTGGGAAAGCTAACGTCCCTGAAAATAACAGGGCAGAAACTTTAGTCTTGATGATTTACTTTTCATTGTCCAAGCTTTGTAAGGTTTAATTTTTAACTGTTGACTAGACTACCAGAGCATTGGTCTTCATGTGGTGGTGTGTAAGTGTGACTCCAAAAGCATGCATATGGATATCAGTTTTTAACTATGCAGCTGTTGTGTAAGACAAACTCTTCTTTTTCTACTTAGAAAAGGGGAGTGTTACAGAAATTTTCTGAGTGCTTACACTGGGAAGTTAAGCCAACCAACAGCCATTGTAATAGATTGTATTGAAAAAGAAAAGGTTAGGTACATTCCTGCTCATTACTACCTATTATAGTAAGTTTGATTAGTTTAGTTTTTGAGATTGTTAATGAAGAGAGGAGTTGCTTCCAAAAATGGAGTGTGCTCTTCTGTACAGAATAGCCAAACGTGTAGGAAACATTTTTTACTAACACTCCATGTGCACACCTGGTAAATGGTTTGATTATTGTTATCGAGCCTCTGGCTTTTGTAGCTGGACTGTGCACTAAACTGGCAGATACCAGTGTTCACAAATTACCTAAATTAAGTCTGGGTCATGCATCTCATCTCCTGTTTCTTGTTTGCTTTAAATTAATCCAAAAGTACCGCTAACAGCTGGAATCCCTGCTGAGGCCAGCTTGATCTGCTCTGGAGCTGCTCCAGCCATTGCTCTGATAAAGCTTGATATCATTTCAACAGTCTCTAGGAACCAGAATGATTTCCCTTCATTGTTTAAGGTTTCATTCAAATATTCGCTGTGCCAGGAAAAAGGATATTTCACTTCTGCTTTTCTTCTTTTGCTGCTGCTACTAGAAAACTTTTTTCTCTTTGCTTTTCTGAAAATTAAGCTATAGTGTGGCCCATGCTTTAGGATTCAGTGGGAATTGTTTCTCTTAATCTCCAGGGATGGAGTGTTGCAGTTGCAAAAGGTGCACACTGTAAATAAATAAATTATGCATCAATGTTGGAGACAAAGCACACGTTCTAAGAGAAGATATTATGTGGGGGAGGCCAGGGGAGCTCTGGCCTTCTGCCTAGATTTCCATAGTGAATAAATCCCTTTCATGATCTGCCCTTCAGTCTGCTGTTCGGTAGCTTTTTGTTTGGGACATTAAAAATAGTAGTAGTATTGGATTGATTTTTAGGCAGTACAGTAATCTCGGAGTAATGTCTGCTCTCCAAAGAGAGACTTAAGACCACCATAATTTTGTGTTGAACATTGACTTAAAAATGAGGTACTGTCAGTCGGCGAGGTTGTGTTCCCGTCATGCATCCTCCCCCTGGTGTGGTGAGCAGGGCTGTGCCGAGCTGGGCCGAGCTGGCGCTGTCGGTGCCCGTGCCCTTGGCACAGCTGTGCCACACCTAGCTCCAGCACAGCCCCCTCCCTGCCCCCTCTCCTTGGCACTCTTAGCTCTCGGGATGTGTTGGGTTTGCAGGGCAAGGTTTTGGTAGCTGAGAGGCTATCAGGGCTTTTTTGTGAGAAGCTGCCAGAAGCTTCTCCCGTGTCTGAAAGAGCCAATGCCAGCCTGCTACAGGATGGACCCACTGCTGGCCAAGTAGAGAACTTGGGAGTGAAGCTGAGCTTGGGAGGAAGGGAGGGGTAGGGGGAAGGTGTCTTAAGGTTTGGTTTTATTTCTCACTATCTTACTCTGATTTGACTGGCAATAAATTAAATTAGTTTTCCCAGGTCAAGTCTGTTCTGCCTGCGACAGTTACTGGTGGGTGATCTCTCCCTATCCTTATCAACCCATGAGCCTTTCATTATGCTTTCTTTCCCTGCTCAGTTGAGGAGGGGAGTGAAGGAGTGGCTTCAGGGGTACCAGGGTGATGTTTCCCAGTGTTTAAAGATGCTGTTTTACAAAAGGCTACTGTTTTAATTATTAGACCTGATGCAGTTCACTGCATGTGGGATGGGTGAAAGTAAACCTGCATGAGGTGCTGTGCTAGTAACTGGGATGGGGGAATACACAAACTGGGTTATCCTCACCACTGAGGGCCCGGCTTCCTCAGACCACTATTACATTGCAGATACAGCTGACTTGTGCTTTCCACCAGACTTATGCCCTTAACATGTTCCAAGCACTATGCTGTAGACTGGCCCTTACTGCCATTATCAGCTGATAGTGAAATTAGTGCAGCTCTGGAGCCATTTGCAACAGCAGAATGACTACAGAGAAGATAGAATCTACAGCAAGGCATCTACCTAACTGCTAGGTGTGATGGAAGAGAGCTTATTACTCGGAATTAAAAGTACTTGCTTTTGTTTAGCATAATGTCCTGAAAATGTAGGCCACTAGTCTCCCGAAATCTTTGGCCTGAGGTGTGGAGAGCAGGCCATGGTGACTTACTGCTGCCTGTAGGTACTGTTCTGGTGCTTGTTGTGGGGAGGAAAGTTAATTCATGCATTGCTTACTGCTATGGGTAGGTTTTGTTCTTGGTAGCAGAGGGTTCAAGGGATCCCCTGTGCTGGCAGTAGCTTCTGTGCTGGTGTTTGTTGGCACAGTAAAATTTCCTTGTTGATTAAACTGTACCTGGTCATGTCCCATGGCAGCAGCGTTCCTTTCATATATGCTTGGAAGAAGAAAACAAGAATTCTGGGGTTCCTAAATAAAATTTCTTAGTAAAGCTGTCAATCTCCAATTTTCAATTACATTATAAACTGTGCATATCAGATCATTGGAGCAGGTCATGCAAATGGTGCACAATTAAATCCTCATTCTGTGCCACAGGCATGTAAAAACTGTTATATGTAAAGTTAGGGTTTTATTGTCTGAAAGGATGGAAAAGTAGATGGGTAAAAAACTGGTTGGACTTGGAGAGTCATGGTCCATCAGACCTCTTATACCCGGAGGCTGCTACCAAATGGGGCACTACAGGGATCTGTCATGGAACCTGTTAATGTTAAACACCTTTATTTAACAGCAGCCTGAAACAGATGGCAGAGTGTGCTCTTCAACTGTGCAGAAGATACCAAAATGAGAGGGACCAGTTGAAGCCCTTGAGGGCAAGGCTTCCACTAAAAGGAAACCAGATAGACTGGGGAAACAGGCCAACAGAACCTTATGAAATTAAACATGGGTAAATCTGACTCCTGCACCTGGGAAGGAAGGGCCCCTTGCAGAAGTACAGGTTGGGGGCTGCCAGCAGATCTGCTCCCCAGGGGAACCTGGGAACCCTCAGCTCATCCTGGTGGACAGTGAGCTGAACTTGAGCCTGTGGTGTGCTTCCTGCACAACTTATTTATGGGAGCACAGCACACAGATCGAGGAGTGATAATTGCTCTCTCCTCTGCAGAAACCACATCTGAACACTATCTGCAGTTTTCTAACTGAATTTAGTCCATCATTTCCCATCACTCTTGCTGCTAATGCTGGCAATCTGGGGATGTCAGGGGAGTGGGAACAAGACTTCTATAGCAAAAGCTTTAGGGCTGATTGGTATCACTGCCAAGTAGCCCCAGTAGTGAAGTGACTGAGACAAAGATCTAGTACCCTACCAGCAGTCTCATCTGCTCTTGCCTGCATTCTGCTTAAGCTGCTAATTAAATCGACTAAGTTTAATATGTTTTTGCTGTAAAAACCTTTTAAGACCTGTTGATTGCCATGTGGTTTGGAGTAATTCATGTTAGGCTTATCTCATCATTCAAGGTGAAATTTAAGCCATGAATTAAGTGATTGTATCAACAAGTCTGAAGACTATCAAAGAGAAAAACGCTATGAAAGCTATTAGGTTAGTTCTGTGGCTCAGTCCATGAAAGCAAACATGCACTGTTCAAACACAGCACAAAGGAGTTGTAGCTTTTTGCAGACTTTGCTCTATGGAGTTTTACCAGCACCTCCTGAGGACCACTCACTTTGAGTTTACACAGGAGCGAATATGACAGTGACTGGAAGATATGAATAGAGGATGATGGTGGTAGTAAAGCATGACATCCTGGGACTGCTTTCTACTTTCATTATGACTAGAAAATCTGTTTTGCAATGACTGTTTATCTGTAGAAACGCAAGCAACTTTCAGCTGAAAGTTCATGCCTCAAAGTCATGTTGCTTGTAACAAGCTTGTACTATGCATACTAGTGCTCTAGTTTCATTTTTTTCCTTTTATTTTAGTGTATTGTGAATTATGAAGGGTATTTATTTTCCAGTTTTGAATTTCACACTGGCTGAGCTGTCCTGTGAAAGACGTTTGTGCAAAGATACTTTCAGGGGAAGTTTGCTCTAGGTTTTCGATTGATCATCTGAAAAACAGTGAGCGAAACTGGTGGTGGGAGGATGCTTAGCAAATTAAAACTGAAGGTAGGTATCTTGTAGAATTAATTCTTTTACAATCTCTATATTTCAGGCTATGGTTGCTTGCTATCCTGGAAATGGAACTGGGTATGTTCGTCATGTGGACAATCCAAATGGTGACGGGCGCTGCATCACCTGTATTTATTACCTGAATAAGAACTGGGACTCCAAGGTGAGTAAGCCATGGGGCTGAGACAGAACAGGAAGGAAGAACTACTTTGGAACAGAGCTTTGGAGCTGTCTGTTGTTTCTGTGAACTCTGATGAACTTCTGAACTGTTGGTCCATTCTTCATCTCTTCTTTTTTTTTTTTTTTTTTCTGTCTGTTTTTGGCAATGCTTTGGATGTAAGAATGTGAACTGTTTCCTTATCGTCCTCTCTCCCATTCTACACACATACTGTTGCTATAGGATAAAACTATAAGCACTGGGCTGTATGCTCTTAACACTTTGTTTAGAGGAGAAAAAGAAAGTCAATTCTCTACAGTACAAGTGGATTGTGGGAGTAGAGTAAAATGACAACCCAAATTTGTGACTTTATCATCCTTGATACTTCAGATTAAACTGTACAAGACGTTCTAGGCAGTTCCCTTTTCTTATTTATGAAGCAGTGGGGCTTAGAAGAGGAGCAAACATGGTTTGATTCCTCTTGACTGGATGGAACTCTTGTTTCTGCCTATAATACTATAAGGCAGCCTTAAATGTCCCATACCTTTAAATTAGAAACAAAAGAAGAGTTTATAAAATTGCAGGATGTCTCTTTGCAAGTCTGTTTTTGTAATACACCACAAACTGTTCATGGGGGTTATTGTTTGAAAATTGTCCAATGTTGTTTGCTTCTCTAACCTCTTTTTAGGCCAATATGTTCTTTAAGAACAGGTAAATACTATGTACCCCAATAAGTGAGTTCAGATACAGAGGCAATGCCGTTGAAAAATGCAGTGTTGCAGAAAAGCATATCTTGTTACAGGGAATATGACAGTGAAACATCTCAATGTAATAAAATGAATGAGGAGATGTGGGAGGAAATGCAAATATCCAGTTTATTTTGTGCACTGCACCTGTATCCAAATAGTGAGGAGGCGCCCAAGTGAGCACTAAGAAAAGCTAACTGAAATGCAGGACACTGATGGAGTTTGTTATGTTGATGTGATGGTGGTTTTATGTAAGTATATGCTGGAGGACATGCAATATAAGAGTATAATCATACTGGGCTTTGAAAGCAACCATGTGGCTTTAAACATGGCTTAATAGTTTCTCACTAAGGTCTGCATGTGGCATGGAGGTACCACATCAGGTCTGTGATGCAGCATTAAAATCTCCAAAGAGCCCTCTAACAGCAGGAGGAGGAGGCAGGATTCATCTTAATCTTTTGAAGTTTCTAGAGTGTGTGCAGATCACCAGACCTTTTTCTTGAAAATCATGGCACATGGAAAGACAGAAATTATATGGTAGGGAAACCAGGCTGTGTGATGTGTAGGGAAAATGGTGGGTGGGATCTATAATGCATTTGAGAAGTTTTACAAATCTTAACAATAAAACCAAACAGACTTCAATCTTCCTGAGGGGTAGATGTTAACTCCTAAATGATCAGGCACGGCTTCTGAAATACCAGAAGCAGTATCTAACAGTTGTTGGGGAGACAGCCTGAGCTCAGACTGGTCAGGTAGAGCACCTCTGTCATATTCACTGGTTCTAGAAATGTGACTGGAAGCTCAGAAGTTTCCCAGTGTTTGCTGCAGGGCTGGTGTTAGCTTTATCTTGGTTCATTTGCTTTAGACAGAAGTTTAAGCTGAAACATTACAAACTGGCAAAATCAAATTGGCCAAGAGACAGAGTAAGGTTTTCCAGTGTTGTCATGTAGCTGTCGTGTTTATCATTAGATGTTTATTCCCCATTTATTAGCTGTGGAGGAGAGAGAAATAAGTTATTTTTCATGTGAGTGTGTGGCTTTTTATATGTGCAAAAACTCAATTTTTCCTTTTCTTTCAGCTGCATGGTGGAATTCTTCGAATATTCCCAGAAGGAAAGTCCTATGTAGCAGATGTTGAGCCAATTTTTGACCGATTACTTTTTTTTTGGTCAGATCGAAGGAACCCACATGAAGTCCAGCCTTCTTATGCAACCAGGTACATAGCATATTTAATATTGGTTTTGGCTAGGAAAAAACCCAGAGCATCTCTCTTACCAATATTTTTGTCCAAAATTATGGCCATCATGTTTAAATACATGTGCATAAAAAATAGACAGATGTTGAGTGAATTTCCTGGTTTTGAGTTATTGGGAATTCTCTCATTAAGTAAGGAGGAGCAAGCTCGAATGATACATTTCCTTATGTGCTAGAAAAAAAGGCCCTTAACCATTGACAGGAGAAATCTTCCAAGCTGGGCATAGCTGTTTAGCTGGGAGGTGCTGGGTTATTCTTTTGCCCTTGTAGCACTATAGGGATTGTTGAGGCTACCATCTGTCAGCAGGATGTGAAAAGCTGATGTGACGCAGGGCAGGCCCCAAGCTGCCTACAGGCGTCCCAGAACAGAAAAACAGGCAAAGGTCTGGAAGCTACTTTTGCCCTCTGTTACCAGGGGCTGTGCTCTCTTTTGTGCCTCCAGCAGAAATTCTCACCTTTATTTCTATCTGACTTGTTAAAATACACACTAAAATGCTGTCTGTGTTTGCCTATAAAGATGTGTCATTTTCATTCTGCTTTTTTAGTGTATGAATCCAATTTTGGTTTTGCTTTCTCCATGAGCATAAAACTCCAGTACTTTATTTTAGTATCAAAAGTGGAAAGACATGCAAAGTTTCTTTCTTTTATAGATATGCCATGACCGTGTGGTATTTTGATGCTGAAGAAAGAGCAGAAGCCAAAAAGAAGTTCAGGAACTTAACCGGTATGATTTTTTTATAAATGTTCACCAGAAAGAATTGAATGCATTTTGATCTTTCCAAAGTCACAAACAGACCAGGAGTGGTTCTGTAGCTACAAGCATATTTAACGCATTTTTAGAAACCTTTTTCTCCTCCTATTATTGCTAGTCAATTATTTTATGCAAAGTGGAGAAGTTGTGACAGAAGATTCAGGCCTAGCCCTAGAATCTCTGATGAACAAAATGGGGAGAATGGGAGAGACAATTTCTTATTTGAGTCCCAAATGCCTGAGATTTTTTTCCTACCTTAGGTGGCTACTCCAATCAAAGGGCATCAGCTCTTGTTTTGTTATTTGGGAGGTATATTTTGCCTCCTCCAAACCCTGCTTAGTACCCTGTTTGGACTTTCACGGACAGTTTAATATTTGTGTTCTTTAAATGTTCTGAATGAATGGTGTCTGCCTTCTGCATTAGTGAAGGGCAGAAGCCCACAAAGAAGTGACCCAGCTTTCTAATGGCAGCCACATTGGCTTCTGCTGGAGTAATGGCATGTGAGTCATGGACTGAGTTGTCCAGATGTGTTCTAACACCCTACCTGGGACCATGATCTAAGGGTGCTGTTCAGAGCAGTTTAAGATCTGGTCTTCCGGGGCTGCCTCCTCAAAATACAGGGTGGAGAGGACTTGTCTTTTTAAAAATGTGTGCAGCTGGGCAAAGTTGTAATTAGTCAAATGATTTTCAGAACAGACGGTTTTAATCTCTGTAGCTTGTATGCAAAGCAAATACTGCTTTCACCTTTAAAGAGGATCAGAAAAAAAGGGGCCAAGAGGTGGTGGGGAAAAAGTATCACTGATCTGGGGTCTCAGTTTATTGGACTACTTAAATATTGCGTGAATCATTTTCAAATGGAACATGAAAAATGTGTGACTGTCCTTGTTAACATGCTGTGGTATCATAAAGTCGTTCAGTCCACATAGTGGATTCATGCCATGATTCTGAAATGGAAAGTGTTGTCCATTGAAAACAAACCAACTCTCGTTTCTGAGTTTTAAGATGCATACAGTCAGAACCCCCTGGTTTAATCACTTTTTGGTTTTCTTTTTTCTTTTTGGTGTAGATGCGAGGAAGAGAGAAGCACCTCTTACTGAAGACTAATCAACTGTTCATGAACTCTTTGTGAGGAAATAAGATCCCAAAGATGACTTCCATTTCCAGCAAATAAGGGCAAAACATTTTTATGCACAAGAATGCACTGGTTGTGTCTAGCACATGCATCTTATGCTGATGGTACTTGAGGCTGTCTCCTGTCATGCTGCATCTGGTAGAAGAAAGACTTGTTTGCTCTTTGCCTTTTGCTGGAGAAAATAAGCAGGGTTTAAAAAAAAAGAGTATGTGATACTCAAGCCTAGTGGTAGTGGCTCAGCCAATTGGCTTTTGATCACTCTTGTAAGTAAGATAATGGTCATTGGAACTAGTGGTAAAAAACTGAATATTATTTGCACTTTATGGGGAGAAGAAGTTCTAGTTAAATGGGAAGAAGCCTTGCAAGTTTAAAATCAGTTGGCAGACTGCTGACAGGCACAGAGAGATATTTGACATGGGAAGTTAAATTGGATATTTGTAGAGCATTTTACGGTCTGTCCCAAATGGACCTGTTGATGTACTGTTTAACATTTTGCTGCACAGAACATTGGTTCAGCTCTTCAGAAACATGACTTCCCAGATGTTTGTCTATGCAGTCATCACATTTTCTGAATTTTGTTTGCTCTTCTAGAGGCACATTCTAGCTCTACAGCTGTACTTCCCTTTCTGTCCAGGACTGAGGGGAAAGTAGTTATGTATCTGTTCACAACTTCATAAAACCATTTTTTTTTTCTGTTTTGAGCAGGATGGGTTGTATGTTTTCTATTTTCATAGTTTGGTAAAGCAGCTGTTTTCTCCCAAAAGTCTGGTAAACTTGGAAGGCTTGTGGGCACACAGTGCATTGGCCCTTAAGGTCAGTGATATGTAGAGAAATGTTTACTTTGTGACTTCTCCATTTGCTATGTTCTGTGAGACATAGATATGAATCTGAAAGGGAAAGATATGTCTGGCAGTCTGACAGATATATGATAAATAATGAGTAAGTTAGACTTGATTTTTATGCTGCATATTCTTAGTGAACACACTTGTTTAATTTTGCATGCATATGTAATTTGAATGAAACTGCAATTCCGATTCAATTGATCTGTGATGCCAGGTAACTACTACTGCTGTGCCCTAGCTGTGAGATGAGTTATTCAATGGCAAAGCACACATTTTTTTCTCAGTTTTTTTTTTTTTTTTTTTAACTTATTAGACTCAATGAGTAACTGGTGACCTATTCCTAATTTGTCTAAACTTCTACAACCAGCACTTACTATGCAGTTCAGAATAGCTCTTAATGAAGCTGGGATCTGGCAGTGGATGTATTTATCACTCACATTAATTGTTTTCAACTTAATACACTCACTTGCATTCATTTTTATCCCATGCTGTGTGTGTCAGGCCCTATTAAATGTTCCAAATAGATGCCCCCTTCAGTGTCCCATATTTTCCTGTGCCACCTGCCTATGGTGGTGAAGGTGGTGTGTCTGAACCACTGGCCCCTGCTCTGCTTCCCCATGCTCTGCTGGGTTGTCCTGCTGTGATGGGGCTGCATTTGAGCTAGGGAATGGAAAAGTAGTGTGCAATGGCAACTATTAAACGTCAGTGACAGCAAGGTAATAGCTGCATTGGACAGAAAAGAAGTAACTTTCATGACATAAAAATTATAATAGAAAATGGAGTATTTTTTAAAGCAGTTTTGTGTCTTAAAGAAAAGCTGAGCATCCTTCAGCCTGCCCATGAATGCTGAATGTAACCCCTTATTCTCTCTGGATTCTCCCAGAGATCCAGCTATGGTCTTATAGGCCTGACCACTGTGCACCCTAAGAGAGGAATATGAGGGAATATGTGTGGCTAATATTTTTGCAACTCAAGACTAGAAAAAGACAAAGAATATGATAAATATCCTTTAAGGTTTAATGTTAAGAAAAACATTATTCTACTAGGGTTGCTTGTAAGTAACACCAGAGACTTGAAGGAAAGTTAGTGGTAACTTGAAATTTCCATTCTAAAATGTTCATGTGGGAGGTGAAAGAGTTTGGGCTCTTCCTTGAGAGTGAGAGGTAACCCTTTGAAATGTAAGAGGTGTTGGAAAAGATGGCATTACTATTTAGAGAAGATGATGGCATACAACTTGTTGTATTACTATGCAAAGTTGATAATGACACCTAAATTTGAAACTCCGACATGATTTTAAAAGGAGGAAAATCAGATAAATCAGAACAGAGCAAATATTGCTTTGCCTCTTGAAACTATAACCTTAAAAATTAACTAGAAAGTATTGTTAGTACACATCTTACTGGAGCCTGGAACAGTGGAAAGCCAATGTGTGGTGAAAGGGGAAAAGCTTTGTGTAAGGGCTGAAAAAGAAAGGTACTTCAGTTATCACTGTTGCTACCACCAGGTTTCTGCAGTGGTCAGCAACTGGTATGGTGAATGGAGCATGGAGCAGTATAGTTGCATTTATTGTAAATAAATACATATTTTCTTTTTTGTGAATAGCTTCCTCATCTATATTGCATATATAGAAGACAGGGCAATTATTCTGTGGCAGGGAGTGTTGTCTTTATTAACACTTGTAATCAAGTGTAAAAAAAGTTGAGGGCTTGAGAGCTTGAAACCAATTCCTCAGTCCTCTGTTTCAATCTCTACTATGTTTCCAGTGGGATGATCTTCTTGAAGAAGCTGTAGTTTATTTTGGAGTAGGGTGTAGGGGGTTGTTGGTCATGGGTGACATACACATGGGGCGGGTATTTCAAAGAGGCTTTTTCCTTGTATTTTGTCTTCATAACAAACTGTTTGAATCAAATAGCTAAACAGCACTTGTCAGCCAGTTGTGAAAAGGTATACCTTTCTCTAAGGTATTTTACTTTGAATCCTCCAAAAAATTCTGGTTTTTTTTTTTTTTTTTTTTTTTTTAATCTTTAGGTAATGTGCCTTCATTATTTCATGCTGCACATGCACGTCATGTCATGCAAGTTTTTGATGACTCTAAAAAACATGGTTGCCTTTTGAATTGCATGGGAAATATGTGCAGAGCCACTAAGCTGCAATTTTCAACAGGAGGTTTTTGTTGTGTAGGGAGGAAAAAAGGCCAGGAGACAGTGCTGAAAATCAAAAGACTGTTTTTATTCTTAAACCTGTGAGCACTGGCCTTTTGAGCAAAGTAGTCTCTAATAAATCTTTTTCTCTAGATTACTTCTGGTTCTATGAAGAATGACTTCTACAAAATAATGTCTAAAAAGTCCCACTCTTTTTTTCCCTTCTATTTTTAAACAGTTTTAGTCCTATGTGTTTTTTAAAATGTTGGAATATATTATATGTATTTCGTGTTGCAAAATAGCTGGCTCTAACACCACTTGCATCTAGAAGAAAATGTGTCTATTTGCAGGCAAATGACTAGTTCTACTTGGACTGTGATGTACTCCCAGCAGATATCTGAGACTGAGTTATGACTACATCTTCTCTTGTCAGGTTGTATGCTGGTCAACAATGCTGGCACTTTGCATTGGATTCATATAGAAACCCCAGTAGTATTTTACCATACATCACATTTTGTGTTCCTGTTACTATCAAAAAAAAATGTCGCAGGAGTCAATAAACACTGGGTCATGTTAAACTGTCCTGTGCATATCTCTTTAGTCTTGTGTCTTACTGTGGCCAGGGATGCAAGGGGTGGGTGCAGTGCCATGCAGCTGCATGTAGGGTGACACTGAAATCTGTATCCACAACTGTCTTCTGGGGTTGGAGAGACCTTTTTTGTTGCCCTTGGCTTGGCACACATTCTCTTGGTCACTTCCTGCTATTTTGAAGTTATTTACCTTGCTAGTGACCCTCTTCTTGAAATGCCCATTTGTTTTCAGGCTCCTGTTGAACCAGATAACATTCTCATGATTCAATTGTTGTCTGATAAGTTTTATTTTTAACAGTGTTCACATCCTCCCACAGCTACTTTTCCAGTCTGAATCTCACAGTTTTCTCCTGTGGCTGTGGGAGACTTCTCCTCACTCCCACTAACAGTGCAGTTGAATGAAAGCCAGGGTATTTTCACTCATTTGGTAGAGCTGTGGACTTTCTGATTCCTTTACAATCTTACAAAGAGTGAGATTTTCCCTTTTCCTATATGAAACGTGGTTTCTATCATGGAGGGCTTGAATTTGACTTGTGGCGGTTTTTTCTTAGAGAGGGAAGAGATGTCTAAATAATTTACCATTGATTAAAGCATTTCTTTTAGACTGAGGAGTTCTTAGTGCATAGAGAGAAGACCTATGGAAAACAGAGGGGTTTCTCTTCTGAGCATGCTCCTCAAAGAGTAAAAGTTTCTAGGGACAGCTTGAGAAGAAGCTGGCTGTTGGCCATCCAGCTGCCAAGGACTTTGAACTCTGACTAAACTTTCTCTAAGCAAATATGTTTGCAGTAATTGTTATCTTACAGCTATTTAGGGGTTTCTTTCCTCCCCCACCTACCCAAAGGGATATGGCTAAATATATTTGCACTGACAATTCTCATGACTCTTGAGAATGCATCTGATATTGGAGGTTGCACTGAAAATTGCAAAGGAGCATGACAGTGGAAGAGAGGTTAGTAAAACTTGTTTCCCTTTTCCCACATAATGTTGTCTCCATGGAGTACTTCTGCTTCAGAGAGTTGGTTAAAACTCTCATCATCTTCCATAAGGCATAGAGTTTTTATCTGTCATGTAGAAAGCAGAGATAATTTAATATGCATGTGTGCTTATTTACCACACTGGGTCAATGGCAGTCAACAGCAGCTCTTATTTGGCAGCAGAGTCAATGCCAGCATGTTGGGCACCCACAGTCCTGCTAGAGAGGAGGGAGTTTGATCCCTGAGCTTAGCCAACACCCTGGACCTGATTTGACAGGAGGGGAGTCAAGAGCGTAACTGGCTCTTAAAACCCTGCTCTGTGTGGGGCTGGTGAGATGCATGGAAAGAAAGACCCTGTAGTCCAAACTAGTAGAGCTCTGAAAAATCACTTTTGGTTACAGGGGTTCACAGCTCCCTGGGTAGAGGGAGCAGAGCAGAGCATCCTCTTCAGGATGGGTTATCCTTTCCCTGGCACATGATGTTGAGTTAAAGTAGATGAGAGATAATGGTTACTGTCATTGTGCCCTCTTGCTGAACCAAGAAGTTGATTAGCTTCCTAAAAGGGACTTGGCATTCCTCTGCAGCACCCAGAGGTTGTCTGTCAAGGACATGGTACTGATCCACCTTGTGCCTGGGAAAGGTCTGGTTAGGATGTAGTCTTGGGGAGTTGATGTGGCATGCAGTGCCAGCAGGTTGCTTTTAATTCACTAAACACTGTATTTCATGGCAGCTTTGACACCTGTCCCTTCTATACAGTGGTTCAGTGGATGACCTGTGTTCATGACTGTGACACATGGTAACATCCCAGCCCCCCTCCCTGGCTCTAAGCAAGGGAGAAAATGCCTGCTGTTAAGAGGTACCAGCTGCTTCTTTTATAAGAAGAAAAAAAATCAAGGAAGGAAACAAAAAAGACATCAGAACAGACATTTAATTGTCAGAGTCTTAACAGACTTAAGCTCAGCTGTCTTCAGAGAGTTTTCAAAAGCATACTGCAAACACTTCTGTTTCAAAGCTTATGCTCCTTTATCTATGAGAAGCTAAATACTGGATAATTCTTTAATTAGTTCCCAACAAAATGTTTTTCTCTGTAGCCAAGGCTTGCTATGGGATAATTATAATTATGTCTTTAGTTGGAAAACAAATGTCAATACAGAAAATTATGATTTTTCTTTCTTCACCTGTTTTATTTTGCCTTCTACTTAGCTTCTACTCTCTTCATTCTCACCTGCAATATCTTTCCTTGATTTGGGAAAGGTTGATTACTTTATTTTTAGCTCCCTTTGCTGCATAAATGCACATGATAGACCCAAGTGAGTACTGTGGTCTGGGTGCAAATTGTACAAGTGCAGTGCTTGGGTCTCTTCCTGGGCCAATGAGATGGAGGAACCTGAGCCACCATCAGTTAAACAGCTCAGCTCTTTAAAATGTAATAACCATGTGGCCGTGGGTACCCAAGTGCTACACTGCATGCCAAAGATCTGCATTTGGAGCTTCCCAACCTCTTGCGTACAACCACAGCCATCTACATTTATTTTAGCAGAGTTCCCAGAGCACCAGCAGATCTCCTGCTAGTTTGTCAAGAGCTGCCTAAGGCAGAGCTGAGTGGACACAAATCTTCTAGGCCTGTGTCTTGTGGACCTGTGGTTTAACCCCAGCCACCAACCAAGTACCACACAGCTGCTCACTCCCCCACCAGCTGGACTGTGAAGATCAAAAGGGTAAAAACTTGAAATTATTATGGGTTGAGATAAACATGGGGAAAGGGAAAGCAAAAGCTGTGCACACTAACCAAGCAAAATATTAAGTCACTGCTCCCCACGGGCAGGCAGGTGTTCAGCCATCTCCAGGGGAGCAGGGCCCCATCAAGTGTAACAGTGACTTGTGAAGGCACACACCATCACTTCAAATTCCCTCCTCTTCCTCCTTCTTGCCCCCACTTTATATACTGACCATGATGTCATATGGTCTGGAATATCGCTTTTGGTCAGCTGTCCTGGCTGTGTCTCCTCCTAGTCTCCCACGCCCCCCAGACCCCTTTCCATTGTGGCAGTACAAAAAGCAGAAAAATTTATGAGCATTGCCCAGTGATAACAAAAACCTCTCTGTATTATATTAATCCTGTGTTCAGCACAGATCCAGAACAGCTACTGTGAAGAAAATGAGCTACCCCAGCCAAAGCCAGCACTGAGACAAAAACAGGAGGGAGAGGAGTTGCCCTTTCTACCCTTCTCTGATCCCTGTCTGTCAGTGCATGGATGCAGGATGCCAAAGGTCAGACACCAGGCTTACCCAAGGACAGTCAGACTGGCTTCATTTATCCCACAGGAGAAGATCCTCAGTATTAGGCTGCACAGCATGTCCACGCGATGAGGGAGGAGTGTGACCTTTCTGTTGAACCCATTAAGTTGTTACGTTTCTGAGGGAATTAATATATTTTCATTGATTCAAGAGGAAATTTGTGTGAACTCAGATATTATGGCTTCTGTCTTTAAGAAAGATGTGGGAAAAAATGTTCCCCTATCAGTCTACTGGAAAAAATAAGTATGATCAGAGACCTACAAACTATAATCTGTGACGACAAGCTAAAAGATCTGGTACAGTTCCTTCCAGGGACAAGGAGAGTGGGAAGACAAATGAAGGAGGAAGTAAAAGCATTATAAGGAGGTAAAAGCATTATAAGTAGTTCTCAATATTTGTGATACATAACACACAAATAATGGGATAAAATTGGTGCAAGGAAGTTACAAGTTATTTGTTGGGAAAAGCTTTCTTATGGCTGGGATGCTGAACCACTAGACTATCTGAAGATGTTGTAGACTTGCCCTTACCAAAGATGATTTGGTTGGAGAAATGTCTGCCAGGACTGATGTAAGTAGAAG